CGGACGGCCCGAGGGGCAGACTTCCAGAGGGATGGAGGGGCCTATCGGTGCAGAGAGGCTTCTGGTGGATTTCAAGGCTTCGTGCCTGATGCCTCTGAGCCACCCTGGAAAGCCCAGCCCTGCCTCTGGAGCCCAGGGGCCCAGCCAGTCTCGGCCGGGCGCACTGGAGAGTCTCGCGTGTCTCTGCAGGGCAAAGTGGAAGCTGAATTCCAGCTCCTGACTGTGGAGGAGGCTGAGAAGAGCCCCGTTGGCCTGGGCCGAAAAGAGCCTGAACCCTTGGAGAAGCCCAAGTGAGTATCGGTCACAGAACCCTGGTCACATCCCTCCCGGCAGGACCAAGCCCCACCTAGACCAAGGCTGGGCAACCACGGGCCCCTCTCGGCACCGGGCGCCCTGCCCCCCTCACCTGCTCCTCCCTCCCCTCCCTGCATTCCGGAGGAGACGCCAATCGCCTGTCCCCCTCCCGCCTCTCTGCAAATGCTGATTCACGGCATTCCCGCTCCGGGAGGGAGCTCAAATCAGCCAGTCCATGGCTCCTTCGAAAGCGCTGGGAGGGAGGCGGAGGCCTAGGAAGTGGGCTCCCATGCCCCAGTGCATGGGGAAGCGGGGAGCCAGCGGGTCCCTCCCGCTGATCTAAAGCATCCCTGACAGGTGTGTGTCCAACCTGCTCTTAAATATCTCCAGGGATGGAAACTCCACAACCTCCCTGGGCAAGTTATCCCAGCGTTTCGCCACCCGGCCAGGCAGGAAGTTTTTCCTAATGTCCAACCTGAACCCCCCTTGCTGCAGTTTGAGCCCCTTGCGTCTTGTCCTGTCAGAGGTTAAGGAGAAGACACTTTTCCCCTGCCCCTTGGAACACCGTTAGGCACTTGAAATCTGCTCTCATGTCCTGTTTTCTCTTCTGCAGACTAAACAAACCCAGTATTTTCCGTCGTCCCTCACGGCCCACGGCCCTCACGGCCCACGGCCCTCACGGCCCACGGCCCTCACGGCCCACGGCCCTCACGGCCCACGGCCCTCACGGCCCACGGCCCTCACGGCCCACGGCCCTCACGGCCCACGGCCCTCACGGCCCACGGCCCTCACGGCCCACGGCCCTCACGGCCCACGGCCCTCACGGCCCACGGCCCTCACGGCCCACGGCCCTCACGGCCCACGGCCCTCACGGCCCACGGCCCTCACGGCCCACGGCCCTCACGGCCCACGCCGCTCACGGCCCACGCCCCTCACGGCCGACGCCCCTCACGGCCCACATCCCTCACAGCCCATGTTCTTCGGGGCTTGGGCAAGTCCATTCCCATGTGGGTGCGCAAGCCCCCAGCCCAGGTGCTGGAGATTTTACCCCAGGGGTATCCATTGGCTTGGCACCGGTTCCCCTGGTGCCCCGGGCTCATAGCCAAGCCAGGTTCCTGGTGCCGCTGGTGCCCCGGGCTCATAGCCAAGCCAGGTTCCTCAGTTCCTTCTTGCCCCCCATGCAGCTCTTGGAACGTCCCCGCTTTGTCTTGAGCAACAGGGTTTCATGGTTTCCACTTTTGGAAATAGTTAGATTGCCATCAGGTCTGTCATTTCAGTCATGTGAGTGGTTAATAGGACAGGGCTCCTCTCCAGCCATGGAGTGTTCCCGTGCCAATGTCCTCTCCAGCCGTGGGGCGTTCCCGTGGCCATGTCCTCTCCGGCCGTGGGGCGTTCCCGTGGCCATGTCCTCTCCGGCCGTGGGGTGTTCCCATGGCCATGTCCTCTCCGGCCGTGGGGCGTTCCCGTGGCCATGTCCTCTCCGGCCGTGGGGTGTTCCCATGGCCATGTCCTCTCCGGCCGTGGGGCGTTCCCGTGGCCATGTCCTCTCCGGCCGTGGGGTGTTCCCATGGCCATGTCCTCTCCGGCCGTGGGGCGTTCCCGTGGCCATGTCCTCTCCGGCCGTGGGGTGTTCCCATGGCCATGTCCTCTCCGGCCGTGGGGCGTTCCCGTGGCCATGTCCTCTCCGGCCGTGGGGTGTTCCCATGGCCATGTCCTCTCCGGCCGTGGGGCGTTCCCGTGGCCATGTCCTCTCCGGCCGTGGGGTGTTCCCATGGCCATGTCCTCTCCGGCCGTGGGGCGTTCCCGTGGCCATGTCCTCTCCGGCCGTGGGGTGTTCCCATGGCCATGTCCTCTCCGGCCGTGGGGCGTTCCCGTGGCCATGTCCTCTCCGGCCGTGGGGTGTTCCCATGGCCATGTCCTCTCCGGCCGTGGGGCGTTCCCGTGGCCATGTCCTCTCCGGCCGTGGGGTGTTCCCATGGCCATGTCCTCTCCGGCCGTGGGGCGTTCCCGTGGCCATGTCCTCTCCGGCCGTGGGGTGTTCCCATGGCCATGTCCTCTCCGGCCGTGGGGCGTTCCCGTGGCCATGTCCTCTCCGGCCGTGGGGCGTTCCCGTGGCCATGTCCTCTCCGGCCGTGGGGCGTTCCCGTGGCCATGTCCTCTCCGGCCGTGGGGCGTTCCCGTGGCCATGTCCTCTCCGGCCGTGGGGCGTTCCCGTGGCCATGTCCTCTCCGGCCGTGGGGCGTTCCCGTGGCCATGTCCTCTCCGGCCGTGGGGCGTTCCCGTGGCCATGTCCTCTCCGGCCGTGGGGCGTTCCCGTGGCCATGTCCTCTCCGGCCGTGGGGCGTTCCCGTGGCCATGTCCTCTCCGGCCGTGGGGCGTTCCCGTGGCCATGTCCTCTCCGGCCGTGGGGCGTTCCCGTGGCCATGTCCTCTCCGGCCGTGGGGCGTTCCCGTGGCCATGTCCTCTCCGGCCGTGGGGCGTTCCCGTGGCCATGTCCTCTCCGGCCGTGGGGCGTTCCCGTGGCCATGTCCTCTCCGGCCGTGGGGCGTTCCCGTGGCCATGTCCTCTCCGGCCGTGGGGCGTTCCCGTGGCCATGTCCTCTCCGGCCGTGGGGCGTTCCCGTGGCCATGTCCTCTCCGGCCGTGGGGCGTTCCCGTGGCCATGTCCTCTCCGGCCGTGGGGCGTTCCCGTGGCCATGTCCTCTCCGGCCGTGGGGCGTTCCCGTGGCCATGTCCTCTCCGGCCGTGGGGCGTTCCCGTGGCCATGTCCTCTCCGGCCGTGGGGTGTTCCCATGGCCATGTCCTCTCCGGCCGTGGGGCGTTCCCGTGGCCATGTCCTCTCTGCAAGCCTGGGACTATGAGTGACCCTCGCAGAAGGGATCTCAGGTGCTTGGTTGTGGGTCATAGGAACGGGAGCTGGGAATTTCCACCCCACAAGTTGGGCTCGAAGTCCTGTTTACCCAGCGGCCCTGAGCTGTGCCTTGGGGCTGAGCCTGCCCCCAGTGCGGAGCGCCCCAACCCCTTGGGGCCGCGGGGAGAAGACTCTCTCAACAGTGAGAGGATGGGGGTCGGGTGGGACTTGGGCCAGCCTCTCTCCCTTCCTGTCACCACGGCACCGAAGCCAGGAGCCTGGGAGAGCCGACAGCTCAGCACTGGGCCGACCACCGAGTGCCTTTCGATGGGTTCCCGGCGTTCTGTGACTCTGGCCCTGCCACGGCCGTTTGGGAGGCTCCTGCCTCTACACAGAGCGATACGTCGTGCCCACTCCAGGCTGTGAATCCCTGTCCTCTCTGCTGCCTGCGGGGTCCCTTTTGGAAAAGGACGCCACGGTCAGGCCATAGGAACCCCTCTGGGGAGGAAGGCCTATGGGGGGAGACTCCAGCTGAGGGTGGTGAACAGGGACGCATGCAAAGCCAGGTTTCCTCAGGATAGCCAGCAGGAGCATCCCCCCATGGATGAGGGCACGGTGTGGGCCAGAGCCTCCTTGCAGACAGCTCTTGAGCCTCCAGGCCAGCCGTGCGCAGGATCCGGGGGTGCAGGCAGCGATACCAGATCTGAACACAGCACATCTCCCGCTTGTTGCCCTGTCAAAGAAAGCCCCGCGCTGGGCGCTGAACAGATCCACGCCGGCTCGCTCTTACCCCAGGGTGGTTATTGGCTGCACCCTTTTCCTGGGCACAGAAGCTCAGCTGACTGGTCCGTAACTCCCCTTTGTGAGGCTGTGCTCTAGATTTGCCCTCTCCCCGTGCTCTGGAATCTCTCCCGTCTCCTGGGGCTTGCCCCAGCGACTGGCTCAGACAGCTCCTTGCTCAGCTCGCCCGTGGCCTGGCGGCGTCTCAGCAGGCCCTGCTGGTCTGGGCCGTGTGCAGCGACTGGAATGCCAGGCTGGGGTTTACCAGCCTGCTCTCAGAATGGCGCATCCTGCGCCCAGGCGCTGAGGGACAGGGGAGCTTCTGGGCTTTATGCAGCCAAGACTGGAACTCAAGGGACCCTGGGCCCAGGCTGTCGCCACCGAGTGGGAGCCGAGACAAGGGACGAGAGCGCATTGCTCACAGGAGCAGTGGCGTGCAGACGGTGGGGAGCTCTGGAGTTACAAGCGGTTCTTTCGGATTCAGTCCATAGGTTCTAGCCCAATGTCCATACTCAGGAGAACCCAGGAGGGCCTGGAGAGCTCAGCTCTGCAACCCAAACGTCCCTGGATGAAGCCTAAGCAGAGCTGAGCTAAACAGGCGACCTGGACAGGTCCAGTTCCAGGCCTCTCTTGGCAGGTCGGAGTCCTTAGGCGATCATGGAGAGTTTGAAACAGGCTGTTTCCTAAATGTCCCCCCGGGAATTAGTCACCCGGATGAACACAGGACACCTGCCACACTCTGCAGATCGGCTGGGTGCTTCACAGAGAGGGCGGAACGGCACGGCCAGGAACTGGCCAGGTGCATGTCAATACACAATGGCTGGGCCATTTATCCAGCCGGAGGCTTCATTCACCTTTTCTGCCATGTGTCCCGGGGCAGCGGGATAAGCAGCCCTGGGGCCCAGAAGAAGCTGGTGCCCTTGCCAGCTTGAGTCTGGGGGCTCCTGGCCTCTGCACTGCTTGGCAGCAGTTCACTGTGAGCTCTAGATTCCCAGGGCGCCTGCAGCTTTGCGTTGCTGTGTCTGTGCTCAGCAGCCTTCTCCTTGCTCTGTTCTAGCCGGCCAAAAACCTCCTTCAACTGGTTTGTGAACCCCATGAAAACCTTCATCTTCTTTATCTGGAAGCGGTACAAGAAGTACATCATTGCGCTGCTGATTCTTGCTGTCATCACCATCTTCCTGGTCCTCCTGCTCTACACCATGCCGGGCTACATCAGCCAGAAGATCATCAATGGCTAAGCGGGGCCAGAGACTGGCCCTCCCGTGCTGCGGAAATGGACGCTTTGTGCCAAAGACTCTGGACAGTTTGCCGGCGGTGGGGCTCTGTAAACGCTGGCCAGGGAGGAGGGGTAGCAGGAATCTGCCCTGCTTGGGTAGCCTGGCTCCTGCTTGGACCTTGGGCTGCGGGGGGGTGCTGAGGAGCCCAGGGATAAGTGGTTGGGCCAGTCGCTTGTCCCCCAGCTGAAGGAATCTGTTTCCGCTGGGGCTGGCTGTGGGACACTTGCAGCCCCCGTCAGTGCGGTGTCCCCTCTGCAACAGTGAACCCCCAGCATCTGCCCCGGTCCTTGGAGCGTTTGCCAGGGCTCCCGGCTGGCTCTCCCGGGCTGGTCCGTTCCATGCTTAGCTCCGCCTGGCTCAGGGCTGGGAAAAGCCCCCCCCACCCCCGCTGTCTGGCTTCCCTCCCCCAGGTGGAGGCAGGAATTTGCCCGCTGAACTGGGATGGCCTGGCGGCAGGGGGCTGCCTGGCAGAGCCCACCTGCCCACCCTGCAGGGCCACTTGGGCAGCCGCACGCGGGCGCATCTCGTGTAGATGCACCCAGAGGGTGTGAGGGCTGCTGCTTGTCTGGCTCTGTCCCATCCCCAGGCCAGCTGAGCTAAGCAGCTGAATTCTGGGGAGCCGCCACTGCCCAGCTTTGCACCCGCGCTGTAACGGGAGGGGCTGTTTGCACGAACGGTGCAGGGGGCTGCGGGGAATTAAAGATCCAGACGTCGCCTCGGAGCAGTTTGCACTGTGCTGCAGTCTTTGTCCTCCTGCTGTCAGTGTTACTCGTGCAAGCCAGCCCGGAGGCTGAGCAAAATTCATGGAGTAGTCACGAGAAAAGTGTACGAACCAGAGTGTGCTGGGGGGCACCCCGAGGCCTGTGCCCCATGGCAGGGGGTGAAGCCAGGACCTTGCACCCCAGGAGGGGTGAAGCCAGGGCCCCGGCCCCGGCCCCAGGACACACACAGCTGAAACTGAAGCCAGCGACGGCTCAGAGGTCTCTGAACCTCCCCAACTGCGTGAGCCACCAGTCCCCACAGCCCCTGCCTGGGCCCTGTGCCCACAGGAAGACCCCAGGGTGGGAGGCTTAATTTTTAATAATGGAGATTGCCTATCTCCTAGGGCTGGAAGGGACCTCGAGAGTCATCGAGTCCAGTCCCCTGCCCTCACAGCAGGGCCAAGTACTGTCCCTGACACATTTTTGCCCCAAATCCCTAAACGGCCTCCACAAGGACTGAACTCACAACCCTGGCCTTGGCAGGCCAATGCGGACGATGCACCCGAAGGTGCAGCCGTTTGTGGGGGAAGGAGCTCAGTCTCCCGGCATGCCAGCCGGGCAGGGGCGTGGGTGGCGCTAGATCACACTCAGTCCTGGCATCCCGACTCCTCCAGGGCTGCTCAGCCGGGGCCTTATCTCATCCCCAAGGCCCTGGACAGGCCCCAGCCAAGCCCCACCCAGCTCAGCAAAGAGGCTGCCAGGCGTGGGCAGGACCGG